GTCCAACGCGGATTACCTCGGGACCTCGCGGCGCCCTGGGGGGCTGCGATCTGCGCATCTGTCGCCACTTTCGTGGGCTCCTGGGAGGCCCAGCGGAGGTACGTCCAACGCGGATCACCTCGGGACCTCGCGGCGCCCTGGGGGGCTGCGATCTGCGCAATTGTCGCCTTTTTCGTGGGCTCCTGGGAGGCACAGCGGAGGAACGTCCAACGCGGATCACCTCGGGACCTCGCGGCGCCCTGGGGGGCTGCGATCTGCGCATCTGTCGCCACTTTCGTGGGCTCCTGGGATGCCCAGCGGAGGTATGTCCAACGTGGATCACCTCGGGACCTCGCGGTGCCTTGGGGGGCTGCGATCTGCGCAATTGTCGCAACTTTCGTTGGCTCCTGGGATGCCCAGCGGAGGTACGTCCAACGCGGATCACCTCGGGACCTCGCGGCGCCCTGGGGGGCTGCGATCTGCGCAACTGTTGCCACTGTCGTGGGTTCCTGGGAGGCCCAGCGGAGGTACGTCCAACGTGGATCACCTCGGGAAATCGCGGCGCCCTGGGGGGCTGCGATCTGCGCAACAGTCGCCACTCTCGTGGGCTCCTGGGAGGCCCAGCGGAGGTTCGTCCAACGCGGATCACCTCGGGACCTCGCGGCGCCCTGGGGGGCTGCGATCTGCGCAATTGTCGCCATTTTCGTGGGCTCCTGGGAGGCCCAGCGGAGGTACGTCCAACGCGGATTACCTCGGGACCTCGCGGCGCCCTGGGGGGCTGCGATCTGCGCATCTGTCGCCACTTTCGTGGGCTCCTGGGAGGCCCAGCGGAGGTGGGTCCCACGCGGATCACCTCGGGACCTCGCCGCCCTTGGGGAGCTTGCGATCTGCGCAATTGTTGCCTTTTTCGTGGGCTCCTGGGAGGCTCAGCGGAGGCACGTCCAACGCGGATCACCTCGGGACCTCGCTGCCCCTTGGGGGGCTTGCGATTTGCTCAACAGTCGCCACTTTCGTGGGCTCCTGGGAGGCCCAGCGGAGGTACGTCCCACGTGGATCATTCGGAGGTGCGTCATACGCGTTTCTTTCAACGCCCCTGTGTTTCCATTTTGTATAGTTGCCGTTCCTCTTCTTGTTGCGCTCTTCAGAAATCACTGTTGGATGCTCTTCTTGCGCACTGCGGGTCCTTCAGAATGCCAGTCAGCATTGAGTGGTCCTGAGTATAATCGCCACATGTATAGAAAGGGTTGGGTACGTCACAGGGTGATTTATTTTGACCTGTCACGCGCAATCTCATCTGGCTTTGCGATTAATTCCAAACTTCGATGTGCAACAGAGGGGAAGGACACCTGCCCCCCTTCGGGTGACAAACCCACACCCGGCCCAGATGGTTTTTCTCCTCGGTCTGGCCAGGGCATCACTCCTCTGTTTCCTTGAAGAGGGGGGCGGGGGGGAATATCAAGGAAACGCAACCATTGACTGATGCGCGTGGGTCATCCTTGCACGCTCTGCGCGCCCCGTCGTCACGTCGGGCGGCGCAAGCCCCACTTTGCACGGGGGAAGGTCGGACCGAGGTGCAAGGTCGAGGTCGGTTCGGGGAGGGTGCCCTAAATCATGTTTTGGCGCTTCTTGGGGGAGGGCACCCTCGAATGCTCTTCAGTTTGGCTGGCGGACGGTCTGATGTTGTTGAAGGACGTTAGTTTGTCAGAGTCCCGGCCTGCACATGGATTTCCAGAGCTACTTCGTCTTGACCAGGTGGTGCTACATTTGCCTCCACAAGTATGCTCTCGTGATGTACTTCTTTCCTCTCGTCCGTGATCTGCGTGCCTTGAACGCAGTGCCGTCGTTTTATCTGCACGCCCCTAGTTGACGCGGAAGTGCTCGTGGTCGTGCATATTTTGCCGCCCCGCAGGGCAACAGGGTTGCGTCTGTCTCTGCCTCCTCTCCTGTCTGTCCCTCGCCCCCCTCGCCCCCTCCCCTCCTCGCCTCTCTGCTCGTGGCGGGGGGGGGGCACGATCTGTCCGCTTCCCTTCGGCCGCAATGACCCGGACCGTCGCGGCCCCCTCTGGCCTTTCCCGCGCGAATCGCCCGGGTCACCATGAAACGACGCGAAGATCGGGACAAAATCGGATCGGGATAACTCGAAATCTCTGAGAATCGGAGGGTTTGGAGGACGTATTGGGCACCGCGGCCGCTCCAGAGCGTTCCGGAACGCTCTGAGAGCGCTCCAGAACGCTCTGGAGCGATTTATCCCGATCCTAGCTTTGTTTTGCACCAGATTGCAGCGTGGCGGGCGCCAGACTGCAGCGCGGCCAGCAGCCCTCGGGCGCCAGCCCGCTCGCCTCCCCCCCCGGAGGGGGCCCCCTCTCTCTCTCTCCCCTTGGGAGGCAGGGGGCCGCTCCTCTCTCTCTCCCCCCCTGCCGCCCCTTCCCCCCGCCTCTCCTGCTCCCTGCCCTCTGGCCCCTCCCCTCTCTCGGGGGTGGACAGGCCTCCTACCCTGACACGTCGATTAAGGAACTGTCCGCGTTCAGTTCGCGGGAGGGCGTCGCGGCCGTCATGTTTGCGGGTCCAGGTCCGTCGGTTTCGGTCCCAGGCCGTTTTTTTTCACTAAGGGGAGGTTTACTAATGGGAGGTTTGTCCACTGCCGACTCTCCCCCGCCTCCCCCTTGCTCTCCCTCCCGTCGTGGTCGCCGTCGGGGCCGTCGTCGTTCTCGCTCGGCCGGGTCGTCGCCGCCGCGGTCGTCGCCGCCGCCTTCCGCGCCGTCGCCTCCGTCGCCGCCGCCGCCGCCGCCGTCGTCGTCGGCCTCGGCCTCGGCGGGCAGCGGTCCCCCGCCTCCCCTCGGGGCCTCTCCTCCTCCTCCTCCTCCTCCTCCTCCTCCTCCTCCTCCTCCTCTCCTCCTCCTCCTCCTCCCTCCTCCTCCTCCTCCTCCTCCCTCCCTCCCTCCCCTCCTCCCTCCTCCTCCTCCTCCTCCTCCTCCTCGCTCCTCCTCCTCTCCTCGCCTCCTCCCTCCTTTTCTCCTCCTCCTCCTCCCTCCTTTCCTCCTCCTCCTCCTCCCTCCTCCTCCTCCTCCTCCTCCTCCTCCTCCTCCTCCCCTCCTCCTCCCTCCTCCTCCCTCCTCCCTCCTCCCTCCTCCCTCCTCCCTCCTCCCCATGCGGGGTGGCGACTGAGATCAGCAGGGGGGCGATACCGGCACCCCGCCGCCACTCTGGCCCTCCTCTGGGCTTCCTGGAGCTTCCTCGCTGCCACGGCTGGATTCGCCTCGACATCCTGGTCAGAAGGCACCCTAGCAGAGGTCCCGGGGTTAGCGGTATCGGTACTTTTCTTACCCTGATGGTCCGCTACCGAAAATTTCCGGTAGCGCTCCGCAGAGATCGGTCGCTACCGAAATACCGAAAAGTAGCGCCCAATACCGGTATCAGAGCGTTCTGAAATCCGCTATTTCAACGAAGATCCGGTCGCTACCGAAATTCGGGGTGCGTCGAAATCGCTACCGAAAATTTCCGGTACCAGACCATCTGGGTATCCTCCCATGAGACTGTAGCCTCCCGGCCGCCTGAAGGGCTGATGCTGCTCCAGTGTCTCTCTGCGCCGGGTTCCCCGCTCCTTGCCTCCCTCCCCCCGTCCCTCTTCGAAGCTGGGAGCCCCCAGCGTCGCCCGTCCAGTGGGCCCCTGGGCTCGGAGCAGCACTCCCGATGGCCGGCGACTCGTCGCCGCATGGTTTGTATACGGCTCACGGCTCCCTTTGATTGTCGCTGTGTGATGCTTGATTTTACCAGCGGTCGGTGGGATCACAAGTGGTGCACGCAAAATGCGATTTCCCTCTCCCCCGGCTCCTCCGCCTCCTCCGTCCTCCTCTTCCTCCTTCCTCCTCCCCTACTGTTTTGAGTGCCAGTGTCCGATGTTCATGTCTTTCCAGGTGCCACCGAGTGGCTCGAGTGTCTCGCGTTTTTTTTACGTTTTTGTCATTCACAGAGGTGCTGCATCGTGGTGCTGCCCGCGGAAAAAAAGCCCCCGATCCGTGGGCGTGCTTCCCACGCGCCAGATCCACAGGTCCCTGGCCCATGCTGGCGGGTGCCCCGATGCGAGGGCGAGCCCCGACCGGGCCCAGATCGCCCCCGCCTCCTCGGCCTGGCCGCGGTTTTTACCTCCTCCTCTGCGGAGGGCAGGGGCCGGAGAGCAGGGGCAGGGCGAGCGTGCCACAGCGAAGGGCACACGCCGGGCGAGGGGGGGGGCAATCGCCGGGCAAGGGGGGTGGGAGGGGGGGGCAGCGCAGGCCGAGGGTTAAGTCGGGCCTGTCCCCCTACGGGGGGATTCTCGGCGAAAAATGAAAAAATGCCGCAGAAATAGGAAAACAGTAGTCCAGAAATAGTCTGGGGAGTGTGTGTTTGGGGTATTTTTTCGCCTTGGGTATTTTTCCCCAATCAGAGCTTGCCTCTGTAGGGGTCCTAGCGGATTAAAGGCTGAGGTGAGAGGTGCGGCCGATTTCGGTGGCCGGGCCCGGGTGCCTGGGTGCCCGGGTGCCAGGGTGCCCGGGTTCGCCGCCGATCGGTGGCCGTGCCCAGGTGCCCGGGTGCCCGGGTGCCCGGGTGCCCGGTTGACGGGTGCCCGGTGCCCGGGTGGGTGCCCGGGTGCCGGGTGCCCGGGTGCCCGGTGCCATGTAGCCCTACAGCCTTATAGCCCTATATCCCTATCGCCCTATAGCCCAATAGCCTTATAGTAGCATTATAGCCATATAGCCCAATAGCCCTATAGCCCTATAGCCCCAAACAAATTCTGATTGTTTGTTTCTTCGGTATCACTGTTTTTTTAATATTTTTTTTGTTGTTTTGTGATTTGTGTGAAGAAAAAAAAAAGCAATTTTCGGCGAAAGTAGACCTGTAGGGGGACACGCCCGACACACGACGAGGGGGGCGGGGCAAACACAGGGAGCAGCCACGGCGGAGAGCTCTCGTGCTCGACCGGGGGGGCCTCGGCGGGCTCGGCGCCGACGGCGGCGACTCGGAAGCCGCCGCGGGCCGGCGAGGCCTTGGCCGCGCGGGGCCTGGCGCTGCCGGCGCTGTACGTGGAGCACGTGCGGCAGGCGCCGCGGAGCGCGCCTCCTCCTCTTCCTCTTCCCCTTCCTCCTGCTCCTCCTCCTCCTCCTCCTCCACCTCCTCCTCCTTCTTCGCCTCCTCCTCCTCCACCTCCTCCTCCTCCTCTTTCCTCCGTCTCCTCCGTCCTCCTCCGTCCTCCTCCGTCGCCCCTTCTGCTCCTCCTGCGGGGCGCAGCTGCACACTACCTTGGAGATGGAAAGGAGGACGGTGTCGACAACGCCTCATTGCGAGAATTCATCAAGGTGTTGCGCGCGGCGCCCGACACAGGGCATCGCCTCAGTGAGCTCATGGTCGCTATCGCCGTCGGGGGCACCTGGACCAGAGAGCGCAAATCATCAGTGTCGAATGTCGCCGTGGACGTGGCGTGCCCGCGGTGCCGTGCAGCTACGGAGACTCCATTTCATCGTATTTGGGTTTGTCCTTGCAACAGTGGTAACAAGGGGTACGCTGAGTCTGACGCTTTCTCTTACGAAGCTCAGCTCTATCATGAACGTGATGCGTGTTTTTGGCTTCGTGGCTTGATGCCAGCATCTTGGACCTCAGTGCCACCGCCCACTCATGAGAAACAGTGGTCGCATTCCGGACTTGTCGACGGTGTCCTCGGTCCGGGATGGTTTGGCACACCCCATTGCACCCGGTAGTCATCTTCGGGGATGCGAGTGGCGGTTTTGATAGCCAGGGCCCTCTTTTGAGAAGGGTTGGCCTATCAATCGGTGCTCTTCGCCGCGATGGGCGAGAGTTGAGGGCAGGCGTGTCTGGGCCTCTACCCGGATCTGTTCAGCCAGTGCCCAGAGGTGAGTTGGCCAGTTTGGAATGAGTCACTCGTCTTTTTTCTGGTCCCACAGTTTATGTCATTGACGCCGAGCTGGTACTTCACGGCTGGCATGCTGGTAGATTTCTGTCTCCCTCTGGCCCCGACGCGTTTTTGTGGGGACGGATTGACCAGAATTTCCGCGTTAAGTCTTCTTCTGATTTTGCAGTTGTAGACATCAGCTCCCACCTCACCGTCAGCGAAGCAGCTGACCGTGGCATTCCAGAGTGGGTGCGCCTCGGAAATGAATTGGTCGACAATTTGGCCGGGTAGCTGCGGCAGCGTATCGCGTGCCCAGCGCCGCACGGGCCAAGGTAGCAAAAGCCGAATGGCGCGCCCTGCCGGTGCGCCGGAGACTCTTAAGTGCCACTTTAGGCGCAGTGCGAGCCGAGGATTGTTTGAAGCGTGCCCAGCGGCAAGAAACCGTAGGGGGTGCGGGTCCTTCTGTTCCACCTCCGCCGCCTCTTGCCGCCGCTGGGCGGCCTCCCCATGCCCCGTCCAGATATGCTGCCGCTTCTTTCGCAACGCAGCCCACGCTCACACGTTACTTGAGTGCGGGCGTAAATGCGCACGGGGCCCGTGTTCAGCCTCAGCCAGCACAGTCATCGAATAGATTCGCAACGCGAATTGCTTTTTGCACTGACGTGTACAGCCACAAGTATCTTTAGACCACCCGTTGTGGCACGCATCTATTTGTTTGGAGGGTGGGTACATTCGAATCACCGCATGGCTTATTACGATGGTATGAACTTGTGATTTTGTCAACGTAGTGGGAAGTTTGTCGCAAAGAGCCTGCAGCCGTTCAAAGCAGCTGAATGCAAGCAGACCCCCACTGGCCGAGAGCATCTTCGGCAAATCTGGGCCGAGTTATGGCCCAAAGTTCTCAGCAAAGCTGAAACGCTGAGAAGAATGTAAGCACGGATTTTCGCTCAAGGCAGTGGTCATTCTCATTATAATTCCTTCTCCTCCTCCTCCTCCTCCTTTTCCTCCTCCCCCTCCTCCTCGCCCTCCTCCTCCACCTCATTCTCCTCCTCCTCGTCCCTCGTGCTCCTCCGTCGCTGTCGTAGGAGGACGGAGGAGGAGGAGGAGGAGGAGGAGGAGGAGGAGGAGGAGCTGGAGGAGGAAGAGGAGGAGGAAGAGCTGGAGGAGGAGGAGGAAGAGGAGGAGGTAGGAGAGGAGGAGGAGGAGGGACGGTCAACTCAGACCATCGGATCAGTGTGTGTGTGTGTGTGAAAAAAACGGGCAGCTGCAGTGGGCCGCTTTGGCAGCTGCGTCATGACTTGCACTCTTGTGCCCCGGGAACGACCGCCGCCTGGACGGAACGATCGAAGCGCCAGCGAAACGCAAGCATGTGAATGCGGCATGACATCCCAAACACGGGCCCCTGTGTGACACATCGAGTGTGTGTCCTCTGCCTGTGCCCGATGCCTGCGGGTACTTGGTCTCAGGCGCGCGGTCGATGTTGAACAAACGTTTGGGCGCAGATGCCTGTCTTGGGTCGTGCTCCCTCGACGCCCTGCGGCGGCGGGTCCGCAAGGTGCTTCATGAACCCGATCTCCTCGGCCGCGCAGCGGCAGGCGAGGCCTTGCGGTCGCCTCCTCCTCCTCCTCCTCCTCCTCCTCCTCCTCCTCCTCCTCCTCCTCCTCCTCCCGATGGGGCTGCGGCGGCGGCCGCGGCAGCGGCAGCGGCGGAGCGTGCCTCGCTGCGGCCCCGCTTGCCCCTGCCCGCCAGGATGCAGCCGTCGGCGTCGGGCTTGGGCCGGCTGGCCACGCTTCAGGCGGACGGGACCGACATCGAGGGAACGTTCGTGCAAGTGGCGGCGGCGGCGGCCGCAGCGTGGAGGAGGCGCGGCGGCCGCCGAGGGAACTCGTGGGTCAGGCAGTGGCTCGGGAGCTGACGCAGAAGCGGGGTGAGGGTGTTCCAAGATTGCCCTGGACGGGCCGTGCTGGAGGACGCCGTGGCGTGCCTCAGGGTGGCGGCGCGCGTGGGAAGGTTCGAGGCCCCGGCTCCGCAAATGGCCCATGTGATTGCGGGGACAGGCCTGTCTGGAGGTGCCGCGTGGTTGCAAAAGGGAGCCGTCGCGGACAGAAGGTGCAGGAGTGGGCTCGGTGGAAGCCTCGCTTGGTCGCGCTGCTCGAGGCCTGCGTGGACCTGGGACGGGCGCAAGGTGGCATCGCGGGCCGCACGCCCATCAACGCGGTGAGGTCGCTCGTGCGGGCCATGGGGACGATGCGCAGGTGGCTCTCGCTCGCTCGCGATGCCCCGTGGCCCGCGACGGCCGTGGTGCAATTCATCGATTGTGCGCATGCAAGGCCGCCGAGCCGTGCGGGCCGACGGTGCCCAACCAAACTCTGCGCGCCAGGGTGTGGGCAGAACGCAGGGCAGGCGTGGACCAGCACGACGGACCTTCCACTCGACCCAATACCCATCCTGTCGTCGCGAACGATGATCTGTTCGTCGGCGATGGTAGGGGCCCGGCGACGAGGGCAGCACAGTTCCCCAACGCGTTCCTCGAAACCTTGGAGCGGTTGGTCATGAACGAGGACCTCGCGCGATACCTGCGCGGGGTGGCGTGGTTGTGCCTCGACATGGTGTGGGTGGTGTTCGACCACGACGACCACAGCTGGGCCCCGCCGCAGCGCCTCGACTTCGTGGGCGCGGGGCTGATGGCCACGCGGGGGCGCGCGATGACCAGCGGAGCGGGGCGCAAGATGCCATGGCGCCGCTTGTGGCATCCTGGGGATGCTACATACTGGACCCAGCATGTGCGCCGACGGGTTTCGACCTGTGACAGGAGATCGCGGACTTCGAGAAGGACCGCCTTTTGCCGAGGCGCGACGACGCTGGGCTTGGTACGCAGAGGTAGCGGCAGCGGGCCAGCATTCAAGCATTGGCGAAGCGTCCTGGCCCGCCTGCAAGGCCACCAAAGAATTGTCGAATCACCCTTTGTATTTCGCACGAAATGTTCAGAGAACAGTTATGGCTGGGATTGTCCTGTTTCAACTCATCGGGCTTCTTTTATAAAAACATGGTGTAATAACGTTATTTTCGTTCATAGAACATGTGGGGGTTGTAGGAACATGTCGTGGTAGGCCTATAGGAATGCTGGGGCGGTCGGTCTTTGTTCAAAACATGTGTTCCAGAGGATGCTGAAGCCTATTGGCCTGTGCGGGCGAAATGGTCGAGCTCTTCATCCCCGTCGCGGCGGGCGACGATCCCTTCGGCCATGGCGGCGATTGGGATCCGGAAGAACAGGCGCGACTCCATTGGCAAGTGGTCGCCAGAAGGTGCGGACAACTACGCGGGGACATACTGCGCGGTCGCCTCGTAGTTTCAGCAGCGTTTCGAGGAGGTGTTGCATTCCGGGAAGGCCTGGGCGGAAGTGGGCGAGGCGGCAGCCATGCCAGACCTGGCGGAATGGTCGGTCTTGGCCTTGGATTTCCCGGTGCTTATGGCAGCGAACGTGGCGGCTGAGACCCGCGTGACACTCGGCCTGCGCTGGCGGATTGGCCGCGGAGCCCGAAGCCAACGGGGAACGGCCGTGGGGGGTTGTAGCCCCGGAGGTCGCCGTCGAGAAACTGGAGGATGCCGCACCGCCGACGGGGGCACCGACGGCGGGGGCAGCGACCCCCCCGCGAAAGGCGCATACGGCCGAGAACAGCCGCGACGGCGCTGAGGACGGCAAGTGGCGGAACACTCAGAGTGGCGACGGCGAGCGGCACCCCCCAGCTGTAATGGCTATGACATGAGGGTGGTGGCGAGGATCATGGCCATAACGATGGCGATCGCCAAGATCAGGACGATTCCAACGATGCTGAGTGCGCTGATTCTGACGATGAGGAGTACGAAACGAATGGTGGTATCGACGATGATGGCGACGATGATGACATTGACGATGATGAAATTCGGATGATTATTCTGAGCTTGATGATACGTGTGGTGATGACGATGATGGTGTTAAGGAAAAAGAAGAATATGATGCTGATGATGACATGATGGGTGATCGTTGGTAACGGTGATGATGCCAGCAGTGACCCCAATCAGCGTGTTACAAGAACATATGCGTTGCAATCTAGGTGTTGCAATCATGATTGCGCAATCTAGGTGGTGTGACTCATATGGTGCAACCCACGCGGTACAGACAATACAAGTCCATGCGAAACAATGCACCGCAGGTCGACGCAGTGCGAAGTAGTGCACAGCAAGCAGTGCAGAGAGAGAGAAAGAGAGAGAGAGAGAGAGAGAGACAGAGAGAGTGAGACAGAGAGACAGCGAGACAGAGAGAGATAGAGAGACAGAGAGAAACAAAGAGAGAAACAAAGAGAGAGAGAAAGCGAGAGGGAGAGAGAGAGACAGAGAGAAACAAAGAGAGAAACAAAGAGAGAGAGAAAGCGAGAGGGAGAGAGAGAGACAGAGAGAAACAAAGAGAGAAACAAAGAGAGAGAAAGCGAGAGGGAGAGAGAGGGAGGGAGGCCATCGACAGCGCCGGGATGGCCTTCCTCGACGCGCCCCCGGACGCGGATCCTGGCGAGCGGCTGAAGTGGTCCGAGGCGCGCCGGTGCGGCTTGCCACGCCGCGCCATTTGCTTCCTCCGTCTTCGTGCTCCTGTAGGGTCGGCCCAGTCCGTGCTTCGATGCGGATCGTCTGCGAGCTTCGTCTCCGTCGTCGTTGTCGGCGTCGTCGCGGTCGTGGTCGTGGTGCGTGGTGCCCCGTTCGGGACTTGTTTCATCTATGCAGTGACCGCCACCACCACCTCGTGCTCCTCCGTGATCGTCTCCTCTCCGCACACCAGTCAGGACGGGAGGCTTTTGGCAGTTTTCGGCCTCCAGGGGCCCTCACCTTGACCCCGGGCTGTCAAGAAGACCAGCCCCATGGGATTAGTCCAGGTCTCTTGGGTTCCACGTTGTGGAACAAATCGCGACCTCGGAGTTCTGGGCCATTCTCTTCCAGTGGAGTTGCTACTGCTACTGCCCCCTCATTCTTGCGTATCTCTCCTCCGCCTCATGCTTCTCTATCTCCCCCATTTCCTTCTCCTCCTCCCCTTCCCTTCACTCTCTCATCCTTTTCTTCTCTCCTCCTCTCCTCTCTTTAATTGTAAGGGCTTCGCCCCCTGCCGCCAGCCCTCTCTTTATCTTAATGGGATACCTGAGAGTCGCGTCGAAGCGTCTCGGCGCTGCCTTGGTGCAGCTGGGAACATCATTCGGGGGCGGATCGGAATCATCAGCGCATCTTGAGACGTTCGCGTTATCGAAGACGCCTACGGCGAACCACCGCCGCCCCCTGCCTCTTTGAAATCGCCCATGTGGCCGTTCGTTGTGGCAAGAGCTCTGCCAAGCTATCGGACCATGTGCTCCACCAATCGTTGTGTCCTTCGGGGAACACTTGGGGGAGGATGGCGGGGAAGATCAGGAGGAGGAGGAGGAGGAGCAGAAGGAGGAGAGGAGGAGGATGAGGAGGAAGAGATGAGGGGGATGAGGAGGAGATGAGGAAAGGAGGAGGAGGAGGCGGAGGAGGAGGAGGAGGAGGAGGAGGAGGCCGGGGGACTGTGGAGCCCCTCGTCGTTTTCATACGATTTGTAGCGAGCGGAACGCTTTTTCACCCCGAATTTTTGGTAGTTTTTTGTCATTTCGTTTTCGCCGTGATCCCCTCATACTAACCTTTTCTTGTTATATTGTTCTCTAGTGTTCTCTCTCTCTCTCTTTGTCTCTCTCTCTCTCTCTCTCTCTTTCTCTATCTCCTGCACCAGGCCAATGCATGCCGATGCGATACACATCCATTCCCAACCAACACCAATGCCAATGCAATGCCAATGGGGGAATATTTTCGTTCGGTGGATTTCAATAATAATACTTTGTCGATGATGTCACTACGAAGCCTTCTTTGGAGGATTTCAATAGCAATGCTTATGTGTAGGGTTTCGATAAGGATCCTCATGTGGAGGTTTTTCACCAGGAATCCTTCACGTGGGAGGATTCGATGGAATCGTTCTTGTGGAGGGTTTCAGTAGGAGTCCGTCTGCGGAGGGAGCCATTCGGACTCGCCAGCGCAAAACCAACGCAATGCCAAAGGTTTGCCATCGCAATGCCAAACCAATGCCAAGGCGATCCCAATTCAATGCCAATGCAATGCCAATGGGGGTTATCCTTTGTGGTAGATTCCAAAAGGAATCCTACCTGTGGAGAGTTTCGATTGAAATCCTTCTGTGGGGGCTTTCAGTATGAATATTTTCTGTGGTGGGCTTTCAAAAGGATGCCTTCTTGTGGAAGGTAAGGCATCCGTCTGTGGTGGGAGCCCTTCGAACTCGCCAGCGCAATGTCGAAGCAGTGCCAACGCAATGCCACACCAAAGCCAAAGCAATGCCAATGGGGGGAGTTATTTGCGGTAGATTTCAATAGCAATCCTTCTAAGAACCCTTCTTCGGGGGATTTCAATAGGAAACCTTATATGGAGGGCTTCGCATAGAACCCTTCTGTTGAGGATTTCAATATGGATCCTTCTTGTGGGGGGGATTCAATCGGCATCTTGTTTGTGGGGGTGTTCAATCGGAATCCTTCTGTAACGTGTTTGAGTAGGACTCGCCAACGCAACGTCAACGCAATGCCAACGCACTGCTAACGCACTGAGCCTCTTGGGGCTCTCTCGGGGGGCCTCTTGGAGCGCTGTTGGGGCCTCTTTGGGCCTTCGTGGGCCGTCTTGGAACCATCTTCGGGCGCCTTGACGCACTCTCGGCCTCGGCAATGCGAATACGCCGTCCGTAATTTGCAAAGGTTTATGGCTTCGGGGACGCGAATACGGTGTAAGTTACGAAGGTTTGTTATCTCGGAGACGCAAGCATTGCGTAATTGACTAGGGTTTGTGGCCTCGTGGACGCGAGCGTTGTGTAATTTACAAGTGATTGTGGCTTCGGTGGCGTGAAGCTCATGCATTTCACGTGACCCACGCCCCTGCGGGAATTCAGAGCACGCGATTCGGGCGTGGTAAAAACGTGGTTTGGGGCTCCTCCCCCTCGCGCGCACTTCAGCAAGTTACAGTAGGAAGCAGAACGCATGACTGACGAATGAGACTTGAAGCTGCAACTGGTGCAGGGAGCAGCAACTTCGCCCTACAGCCTGGTGGCCCCACAAGGGGGCCGGCAGATCCTATCCGTCCCTTCTTCTCGCACCCCCAGACGGCGGCCCCGTGGTGATGGTGACGATGGGGAGGAGGACGGGTAACGGGGCGGACGAGAGGAGGAGCCGCAAACGCCTGGCGCCAGGCTGTCGTTGCCATCCAGCTGGCACCGCTGCCGGAGCTCGGGCAGTGCCTGGCGTCAATTGCCAGGAGCGCATCCCCTCTTCTGGGCTCCGCACCCCCCCCCTGCGTCCCGCGCGTCCATCGGGGCAGCGCGTCGGCTGATAGCCGCGGCTCGCTGTCCATCTTTGCGACGCCCTGGCACGGCCGCCACATGATCAGCACGCATTCTTCGTCAGGGCTGTCGCGATTGTGCCCGAGCAGTTCTCAGGGTCAGCGTTCCATTAACAGGCGAAGAACGGTATAACAATCAACTTTTTCGCCGTCGGGGGCACCTGCCCCTGGGCGGCTGGGAAGTTTATACCCCTACGGTGCCACCGTAAGGGTGTAAACTTTCCAGCCGCCCTGGGGCGCCCCCGACGGCGAAAAAGTTCATTTTATACCGTTCTTCGCCCGTTCATGGGGTATAAACTTTCCAGCCGCCCTGGGGCAGGTGTCCCCGACGGCGAAAAAGTTCATTTTGTACCGTTCTTCGCCCGTGACTTCAAAGGGGGGGGGGGGATGGGCTCTCAGAGGCCGGACGCATCGACCCACAGGCGCCCCGTCATCGCCGAGAGGGCCCCGACGGCCCGCCCCGTGCGGGACCCTGGGGATATGCGCTGATGGGGGGCCTCAGGTCTGCCCCAAGCGTTGCCCTTCGGGATGCGGAGGACATGTACTCCAGATCTCGTAATAAAAGGGAGGGGGGTCTCATTTCGGGGGAGGGCCTCTTCCAGGCTATCTTGGAGGGCCTGGGGGGTCTGGGGACGATGTTTTGGAGGGTTCTCCCACGGGGGAGGTCTGAAATGGCTTGTCTTGGAGGGTCCAGGCCCCCTCCCTTTTATTACGAAATCTGGAGTAGTTGATGAGGAGCGAGAGGACAGATACGATGATGATGATGGCGATGGTGATGTTGGTGATGGTGATAATGGAGATCGTGGTGGTGACGATTCTGATAGTGCTGATGCTGATGATGATGCTGCTGCTGATGATGATGATGGTGGTGGTGATGGTGATGGTGAGCGTGGTGGTGGTGATGCTGACGACGATAGTAATGATAATGATGGTGATGGCGATGATGATGAGGATGACGCTGGTGGTGGAGGTGATGATGATGGTGATGGCGCTGATAGGGAATGTGTTGATAACTTTGATGATGTGGAGGGTGATTGTGAAGGCGATGGCGATAGTGATACTTCTGGTGATCGTGGTGCTGGTGATAGTAGTGGTGGTGGTGGTTGTGAAGACAAAGGCGACGCTGACGACGATGATGATGGATGTGATGATGATGGTGATGATGATGGTGATGGCGGTGACAGTGATGGTGAAATGTATTGTGATGAAGGTGATGATGGTGGTGGTGATGATGACGACGATGGTGATGATTATGATGATGATGCTGCTGAACACGATGACGGCATTTTTTACCTGATAGCGTTGACGATGAAGTGGGGATGATGGTGATGATGATGACGTGATGATGGTGATGGTGATGGTGTTGATGATGGTGACGATGCCGATGAGGATGATGATCCTGGTGCTGACAATGATGCTGATGAACGTGGGAGGCGTAAGGTATTGATGATGACGATGATCATACTGAGCATGCTACGAATGACGAGTATGGGGAACTGACGATGGTGTTGATGATGCTGATGAGGACAGACGATGTTAATGGTGACGATGATGGACATGATGGTGATGATGCTGATCATGCTGGTAATGATGATGCTGATGATGATGCTGATGATGGTGATTATGACGATTCTGATGCTGATGATGACGATGTCAGTGACGATGATGGTGGTGTTGCTGCTGCTGATGATGCCGGCGATGACTACGATGACGCGGACAATGACGACGACAATGACGGTGAGGGTTATGATGCTGTCGATGTTGATGATGGTAACGAGGATGATGACTACTACCATGACAATGACGATCACGATGACGATGACGACGCTATTAATGATGATGATGATGCTGATGAGGATGATGCTGATGAGGATGATGCTGATGAGGCTGATGCTGATGATGCTGATGATGCTGATGATGATGCTGATGCTGATGCTGATGCTGATGCTGATGCTGATGATGATGATGATGATGATGATGATGATGATGATGATGATGATGATGATATGCTGGTGATGTTGATGGTGTTGTTGATGATGATGATCATGATGCTGATGATGCTGATGATGATGATGCTGATGCTGATGATGATGATTATGATGATGATGATGATGATGATGATGATGATGATGATGATGATGATGATGATGATGATGATGAGGATGAGGATGAGGATGAGGATGATGATGATGATCTGCTGATGGTGATGGTGATGATGAGCAGGATGCTGAGGATGCGCTCTTTTGGTACCCCCCCTGGGGTTACCCAGAGCATGGACCCATGAAAACGCGCAACAGCCCAATAGCGTCGCAGATGCCCCGTTATAGAGGAGGATGAGGTTGAGCAAGAGCAGCAGGCGGAACAGGAGGAGCAAGAGGAGGAGCAGGAGCATGATGAGGGGGATGATGAGAATGATGAGCAGTTGGAGGGGATGGGGATGAAGAGTAGGAGAAGGAGGAACCGTATTAGTAGGAGGTGGCCGAGCGAAGATGTGGATGAGGAGGGTTTGGAGGAGGTTTGGCATATATTCACGGAGGGTCTCAGGAACGGGTTCATGCTTTTGAGGTAGGGCAGAACGAATTAGCCGGCCCAACGGGCCAGAGGCATGCTAAGATCTCCGGGGTACCGAAAGAATGGGTACGATGCCCAACAGCAGTTCCTGTTCATTCTGAACAGGACTCGCTGTCCGCGCCGCCGCGGCCTGTGTTCATTTGAGACAGAAGGCCGCCTGCCCAGCAGCGGCCGCTGTTGGTTCGGGACAACATTTGTGGTTGGGCATGTTGCCCATTCTTTCGGTACCCATTTCGGGTGTCCAAATAAGCGTCGAGAGCTGTCGAGGTACTTCCCGTGCGGAAATGCCGAGTCGACGTCGCCCTGTTCCAGCCGCCAGCCCGACTGGCTAGCGGCCTCCTGCAGGATAACCGCCGTGGCCGTGTCCGTCAGGGTGGGGGCGTTGGTCTGCAACTCGCCAGCGAGCAGCTGCTTGTTCTTGTATCCTGGATCGGGTCGGGCGAAAGGGGGCGATTGGGAAAAAGGGGGTTACGAAATTTGCTGCATGCAGCTGGTTTCGGCCTCACCGAGGGGCCGATTCCTCGATACATAGCCGCCTCCGGCGCCGGGAGGCGCCGGGAAAATCAGCTACGCGAGCTGATTCTCAAACCCCCCCTTTGCTATCCCCCCCTTTCGCCCGACCCGACTGGAACGATGTTCCGGGACTTCGCCTTGAGCGGGTGCTGCTCGTACGACATGTTGCCCCTCGTCGCCTCGTTCTTGTCCGCGCGAACGCGCCTCATGGGCAGGACCGCTGTCTTGTCCACCCCCGCGAGCTCCTCCTCGGTCGGCCAGTCCACTGCATCGTACTCGACCCACTTGCGCCACTCCTCCAGGTCGCTCGCGTCGAAAGCCGCCTTCCACTCCTGGGGGATGCTGCGGATCTCCCGACCCTTCTTGGGAGTGACCTGCTTCTTCTTCGTCGTGTCGGTCCTCCGGGACAGAAACGCGTCCCTCTGACGATTCTTGACCTTGACGAAGAGTGCTTCCTGATCCATCGGGTCGTCTGGTACCTTCGGAAGTCGCATGGACCTGCCTTTGAGAGCCTCGCGTCGTAGTCGTAGGCGTTCGCGATCTGCCTCCTGGTCGTCGGGAAGCGTTCGCTTGTAGCTGAGTCGTGGTGCAGGTTCTGGTCGCTCAGCTCGCTCTGGTTGCTGTTGCTGTTGATGCGGAATACCTGGCGCAGCCGCCGCGTCAAGGTCCATGGAGTGCCCCTGCCCAGCTGCCGCAGCAGGTGGGTCTGTAGTTTGTTCTGGAGGAACCGGTCCTCCTCCCGGTAATGGTGGTACTTCAGCTACGTCTCCAGGTGCAGGTACGTTCTCCTCCTCGCGCTCCTTCTTCGGTGTCGCCTCGACCACTAGCCGTGGCGGTGGTGGAGCCGGCTCGGCACGCGGTGCCTTAGCCGTAGGCGTGTCGATCACACCGTCCTCGTGGTCCGAGTCCTTCTCGTCCCTCTCGCGGCGCACGCCCGTCTTGTCGCTCCCATCTGGCCCAGGTCCACGCTCATCAATGAACCCCTTCTGGAGAGTAGGTCCACCACGCCAGTGAGAGAGCTGCCTGACCAAGTCCTCGTTCTCCACCATCTCCGCCTCGCTCCGGGAGGCGAGTTGCACCTGCTCCGGCGTCACGAGCACCGGCACCCCGCGGTAGCTGAGGTGTAGCCTCGTGTGGCCTTCGGTCGCCAACACGATCGCTGGCCCACGCCAACCGTGCTCGCCCTGGAGCCTCTTCGACTTCACGTGCTTCACCTCGCGCCAGTAGAACACCAGCTGGCCCGGTACGAATGGTCCACGCGGTGGGCGAACTCGGCCAACCATGGCCCTCCTGACGGCGTCGTCGCTGTCTAGCTCGAAGAACGCCCGGTTCGCCGCCGCCCGTATCTGCTCTGCTCTCCTCGGGCCCTCCTCGAAGAGAGCCGCGCTCTGTGATGCCAGCTGCCTCTGGTCGCCCTCCATCGCCTCGATCAGCGAGGCCGGGATGCCAGGCGACCAGCCCAGCACGTATTGGTAAGGGGTGAAGCCATTCCGCCGAATGTGGTTGTTCCACGTACTCGCTATCACCGATGTCCACATGCGGATCGTCGTCCTTGGTGAGCTGCACGTCGCGGTTCAAGCGCTGGAAGTGGTCCTTGAAGAAGTCGATCGCGCGCTCCCCTCGACCCTTGAGCTGGGGCGCCTCTGCTGGGACTGGCCTCATCAGGATAGTGTACTTCTCTCCGATCTCCGCGAACCGCTTCGTGATGTGACCCTTGGCCGCGTCGTAGTACAGCACCTTGGGTGGTCCAGCCCACGATAGCCAGCCTTGCGAAAAACATCGCAGGCTCTCCTCACAAGTGATGGACCTCATTGCAGTGGTAGGGATGATTA